CCGCAAACACAGCCACCTCCCGATGACCGTCACATTTCTACCCAGCCGACCCCAATCGCAGCGCCAGGTGCCTCTCGCCCAGCGACTCCCACCCCAATTCAAAGTCCCTCACCTTCTACGACGAAACCTGCACTTCAAACCCATCCTCAACCAACAGTCTCGTCTACCATTGTTCCTCCACTCACCCTCCCCGCCCTTCAAATTGATCTCACGCCAGAACCGCTTCCATACAAGCACCTAACTCTCGACGCCGCCCACTGGACACTCACTTCGGCCGAACTTCAACACCTCGTCTCCAGCGCCATTCGCCAAAGCGCCAAGGAGCAGTTTATCCGCCTCCTTCCACCGTCCATCATCGATAATCGTATGCCTGAAGACGCTGCACGCATCGAGCGCGACTGGGACACCGCTGTCGCACGCTGGCGCTTCGAGGCACACCGTCGCAACATGTTGCTTCGCGCCCTCTCAGCATCTGGTGCAGACGGCGACCTACTTGTCCAGCTAACGAGTACACTATCCAATCTTGATTTGCACGCCCAGAACCTGCTTCATGCGGCAGCCCACCGAACGCAACTCACCGCTGCACGGGACACCCATCGCGCGAGTGCACTCGCTGTCGCATTGCGCAAGCTTAACGCGAGTTATGCCCGACGGACGCGTGACCTGGACAAGGCCCGTGCACATGTGGCTACACTTCGTAGTGAGGTTGATGAGGCATGGAAAGTTGCCGAGGAACAGGCTGCCGAGGTCGATAAACTCAAGGTGGCAGCGGCAGCTGCGGCCGCCGAGACGCAGGCGTTGGGCCCTGGCGACCCCATGATTGACGATGACAATATCGATTTCGATGAGGACGATGCCAGTAGCAATGTTCTACAAGATGGTGCGAGCATGGACCTCACCATGCTCTCCTCCGCCGAGGTCGTCGATGTGACGGGCAAGGCTGTTGCTGCCCAGGCACGTCTCACCATGATGCTAACTGACCATCATTCGGATTCGCGCCTCCCTACCCCTGCTTACGGCACCTCCTCCCCATCTTCCCCAGTGAAGTCTGGGTCGGATAACCTACAAAGACGGTTATCGACGGAAAGACGATTATCTATGGCGAGCCAGGTAAGCCGCGTAAGCGCCGCCCGTAAACGCAGCAAACGCAAGAGCAAGGCAAGCTTGCGCCTTCCTGGGTCCATGAGCGTTCGCTCCCGATCAAGTATGCGGGGAGAGTCTGGCACCCGCAGTACCCGCAGTAAGAGCCGCAGTAAGAAGGGTAAAGAGCCGGCACAAGCGGAACCCCCTGTGCCCTGGTTTTCTGCAGATGTAGAAGGGTCTTTTCTCGAGATGGAAGGTCGTCCGGCGGGAGACGAGATTGGCGACGGGCAAGGAGGAAATGATGGAGACGGGTATGACGATGGCAATGCAAGCCTCGGTGAGGAACCTGTACCTGATTCACAGATCAGTGCGTGCGCACACCCTTCATCTCCTTACTTTTTTGATTGAGGTTGTTACTGCAGTAGAACCCTCACCGAACCTACCCCTCTCCACCTCTGTCTCCCCAGCGGAGTCGCAGGTTGTTCCCACACCAAAAGCTACCTCGCCAACGTTTTCTTTCCAGGTCACGGTCACATCCCCGGTGGGAATAGCGCCGTTGGCATCCACATCTACCACGGACAAAGCATCGCACCGTTCCTCCTATTCCTTGCCATCGATCTCGGCGGTGCCATCTGTCGCGTCTACCCTGACGCTACCTCCCTCGTCAGACTCCCATCATGAGCCCCAGTCCCCGCACCAGCAGTCCAATAGCACCGAGGTCTCAAAAGGTGTAGATCTAATCCCCGATCCTGCTTCCATCATCTTCTCTTCTATTGCATCTTCGGAATCGACAGCTACCACTGCTGCATCTGCTCCGGATCTCACTCGACGCAGCTATTCCCTCGACTTGCCATCTCCCAGCGCCAACGATGGTGGCAAGCTGCACAACACCAGGTCCAAAATTCGACGAAGTATCAGCGAGTTCCTGCCCTTTGGAAGCAGTTCGCGAATCCGCCGGCGGAGCGTTCCATTGCCGTTTAAACGGCATGGTGGGACTACTGGCTCTCGTTCTGCAGCCAGTGCGATACGACAGGATTTACGGGAGGAGTCACAAGGGGATGAGGGCTTGGAGAATGGGTGGGAAGATGCTGGCAAGGACGAGGCATAAATGAGATCTACTCGTCCTCTGCATAAGGCTCTGTATTGTTTTTTTTTTTTTTTGGCTTCGGGTTCCTGCGTTTCGTTATGATGTCGACGTCCTTATTCTATCTGCAGGTACAGGTTCCTAGGCTTTCTTTACTCGCTCTGTCCAATCACACATGTCTCCAGTTTGCTAATATTCCTCGCACATCGATTATATATTTCTGTATCTGCAGCTTCCAATTTAAATTCTTGATTCCGACCCCTTGTCCCAGTCTACAGCATTTTTGGTGCCTGAGCGCATAGGTAGCATGTCCATCTGAACCTACACCTTCAAGTTAGAGACTAGTGGGACAGTGATGGCACTGCATCGTAGCCACCCTGATTGATCCATATATATACCGTTGTGTTTAAAGGGTTGTTTGCAAATTGGTTGAAACGAGTTGCAACTTGAACAGCCCGGAGTTGCTGACCCTAGCTTACTTTAGTGGATTCGAACTAAAGACCAGATTATTCCAAGACTTAAAAATACTACCCCCAGGCCCCAGTCTAAGATAGTGAGTCGACAAGACCAATGTCTCAGCACCTTATGTGCATAATGAACACAAAATTTCGAGCTTGCACTTCGACAACTGCAAGCTCTGTTCTCGTACTTCACCATGCTCTAATCATCGTCCCAACAGGCAGCTCGATGGACCAATGTTATTTGATGTCTCAATTTACGTAGGATACCCCATATAGTTAGGTCTGAGAATTTCAAGGCCACCAACCCGGAACGCACTGGTTAGTACGGTAGGCCGGTAGGGGTTAATGCCATGCTTAATCCGCGTGAAGATAAGACATCAACCTTGTCACGATGGGAGAACCTCTGGAAATGTGGCTTTGACTAGTACTAATCATTGTCACGGTGTATACGGATAGTATAGCCAGACAAGGATATTGACATCGCTCATTGGATCCCAACTAGTGTGTACAGGTGGGCATCGAGGAATACGGATTGAGGACGAAGTCAGCGCTCTACCGTGGGCGCCTTGCGAGATCCGGTGTGTTCGTCATCTTCGGACGCCGAGTCCCTTTCCTTTACGTGTGCGTGTGAGAAAACAGTGGTGATCGAGCGAGGATGCCGCTGCCGGAATGAAAGTCACAGCGAAGCAGAAAGCAAAAAGGGAGAAAGGGAGAAGAGAAGAGAGGAACAACGTCACCATGGCTGTTGTGTGCAGCAGACGAGACGTCCGCTGCCTGTATTCGTGTGAGCGAACTGGTGTGAGCGCCAACGCCGAGACGGATCGGTCACAGTAGGGTTGTCAGGCCAACAGAGCGAGTGAAATTGCGTACCCTGCAATTCGGAACTGTGGAACCCGGTCAGGGATTGGTTCGAATCCATGTCCGATAAATTAGAAGCGGAGGAAAGTGTCCTCATTTTTTTCTTTCTCCCTCTTCCACCGTCCACGTCCTCGTCGATATCATGTCTGGCTATTCTTCCATCTTTTCCTCCGGTCTTCTTGCTTCTCCACGACCAAACGACCATGTTGACTATGCCGATTTCTCCACCCCCTCTCGACCCTACACTCCCATAAACGTCGACAGTGACCCCGATACGACGCCCACGAAACCGTGTGCGATGCCGATTCCCTCTTCTGAAGAAGCGATGAGCTACTTCATGCCGCGCAGTCGTGCCTCGAGCAATGCGAGCGTGACCTCCTCCGTGCTCGGGGTTGCTCCGCGTCTGCGGCGGCGGCGGAGTAGTTTAAGCGTCGCAAACAATGGGCTGAGTGCGGTCAAGAGTCCGCAGCGAAATGCAGGCATCGCCCTGCATCGCAACTCGCTCATGGGTTCCAGCGCACGCGCCCGTAGCGGTAGCACTGATGTCGCCCCCGCTGACCTGCCACCCGCCGAAGAGGGGGGCCATGGTTCGGTCCCGAACAGGGTAGCAGGTGGACGTTCTCGAAGCGGAAGCACAGGTAGTACAGTGCGGTAAGCAGGCACCCGTCTTCGTCCTCGCTCCCTCGGTCTTGCTAACGCCGTTGTTGGATTTTTCTCCACGCGCGCTCTGGCCATCTAGACCACGCCGTGCACTCCGCAAGCCTCCTCCTGTTCCTCCTCCAACCTCACCCCTGCCACCACTCCCTACGTCGGTTGCCGTGCCGGAGGTCGTACACCGCCGTCCGCTCGTGCATCGTGCGCATACTGCGGAGAACTTTGCGCCGTTCACTGCGGTTCTTGAAACGAACTCACCCCTATCTCTCGCGCTTGCCCCTGTCGGTCTCACGAATGATTTGAAAGTCAGAGCCATCATGGGCACTCCCCCGTCTTCCAGTCCGCTGGCAGAGCTTTCAGTATTCTGGGGCTCTGGTGCGCGGACGAACGAAAATTGACGATCTTGTCTGATGGACTGTATGCGATGCGCCTTGAACTCTTTTTACATTTTATTATGATTACTGGATGTAAAGCTGCTCTCTATCTACTAGCGCTTCTCAGCCTCCTCCCTCCCCTACTTACTTTAGCTTTATCCTTACTTACCTTAGACTTCTACTAATGCTTTCCTGCATCTGCATCAGATACCATATCCCGACCCAGGCCTGGTGTTCACCTGGTTCCCCATTCCCGTTTTTCCTTTTCATAATCCTCATTGACTGAGCATTATTTATTTCTTCATTAATGTCTTTCCTTTCCGCACATGCCCATATGTTTGTAACGACATACATATTGATGATCACGTTGATGCGTGGCATCTTGCTTCCAATGCTTATGATTTGTGATTCATCGTGAGATGGGCCTTATTATCTTATCCGTAGCCTTCGCACGGCGAACAATGACGGGGGAGAAAAAATCACCATTGTCCCTGAGCGGATTCGAGCCGCTGGCTTCACGGATTTGTAGTGCGGAAAAGTCCGGTAACCACAACGTGATGATTTAACCACTAATCGACAGGGACTTAATTATGGTCTGCAAATTTGATGTACTCATTTGAGGGTGAGCAGCATCGATCAAAGCAAGTTACTGTAGTCATCACTCTTGCATCACTTCGTTCGTTCACTGCTGCCGGTAGCCCTTACTTCGTCTCCCACTCGTTTGCTAATCTTATCAGGCGTCTAACATTGCCTTGTTGCACGATCGGTTTCCCAAACTCCTTCCTGAGGACTCGGAGTGACCACAATTGAAGTGGCAGCTCACTAGCACCGCAAGAAGACCTTGGAGTGTTCCCTCTGTACACTCTCCTTTCACGCCCGGGGAATGTTTGACCTGGTCATTTTACCTTTTACTCCCTTGCCCCTCCAGGATTCGGGCTGTTTGAAGGAAACAAGAGAGCTACGCCCAGTTGCCAGTCCTAGGGCGCGGTAGTGGTTAGGGCCGCCACTGCAACCATCGCCTCCTTGCAATAGGATTACTTATTTCATGGATCTCTAATCGCAAGTCCGCTTGTTGGTGTTCTGCGAAAATATGCGTCATCTATACGTGTTTTTGGTCATCTTGACGCAGCATATTTGAGCTACATGCTTGGCCGTCACGATAGATGGTCTTCGTTTCACGGGTTGACGCGTGGCTCCTTCCCTGAGCTCGAGACTCGGTTGGCTGAGGTTGCGCGTTTCGCAACGTGGGAACAAACGGAAGCAATCATATCGCTGGTGACGTGACCAAACTCTTACGTCGGACAAGTAAGTGGTTTCGCCGATGCGACGTAAGATGGGACGCGTCTTTCTTTTGCTTGGAATGCACATCCACGGTCATGACCGTGAGAAGATCGAGAGGTGAAGAGTGTGAAGAGTGGAAGTGAAAAGTCTTTAGTCCTCGACTCGGAGTTCAATTCATCCTTGTTTTCCTGCCCCACATTCGTCTACCCTTTGCTTACCTTTTCCCATCGTGAGTACTAGTACCAACTACTCTGTGACAGAGTCAATTGACCATGATTCTGCGTCTTTGCATCCTGCTTTCAAAAGGTGATGCGTGAAGTCATCTCTGTGCATGTCGGTCAGGCCGGAGTGCAGATCGGGAACGCATGTTGTGAGCCGTCCTGTTGAAGATCCATGTCTGCTCAATGATTACATTCATTCTTCAGGGGAACTGTACACTGCCGAACACGGGCTGGGCGTGAGTCGAAATTTCAAGCCCGCTTTGCTCACGAGACTGACTCATTGCTGTTTTTAGCCAGATGGTCGTCTTGAGGGTACCGACATTGTAAGAGGAAATGGTGCTGATGGCTTCAGCACTTTTTTCTCTGAAACATCATCGGGGAAATATGTTCCGCGTTCTCTTTACATTGACCTGGAACCGAACGTCATTGACGAAGTCCGAACGGGCAAGTATCGGGAGCTTTTCCACCCAGAGACGATGATCACTGGGAAGGAGGACGCGGCGAGTAATTGTGAGCACAGACTACCTCTTCTCTCACAAAATACCATGTGTGTCGACAGATGCTCGGGGTCATTATACTGTCGGAAAAGAGAAAATCGACGTGATTCTTGACAAGGTTCGGCGTCTTGCGGATAACTGTAGTGGCCTCCAAGGGTTCTTTGTTTTCCATTCCTTTGGTGGTGGCACTGGCTCGGGTCTCGGTGCCCTCTTACTGGAACATCTCTCTACGGACTACGGGAAGAAGTCGAAACTGGAATTCTGCGTGTATCCAGCGCCTCAGCTGGCTAACTCTGTTGTCGAACCGTACAACTCGGTGTTGACGACCCACACGACGTTGGAACATGCCGACTGTTCCTTTATGGTGAGACGGTTGCTATTCCCGTTGAAAGTGCGAGCGAGCGATTCGTTTCAGGTTGACAACGAAGCGATCTTCGGAATCTGCAAGAAGCACCTCGGGATTTCCCAGCCGAGCTTCACCAATTTGAATCGACTGATCGCTCAGGTCGTCTCTTCGATCACGGTTTCTCTTCGCTTTACTGGTTCTTTAAACGTCGATTTGAATGAATTTCAAACGAACCTTGTCCCGTTTGTCTTTTTTTGCCCGTTTCTGTTTCTGTTTCGGCCTCAACTGGTCGTCGACTCGCAGCTTCCCACGGATTCACTTTCCTCTTGCGACGCTCTCTCCGATCGTACCTGTCGACCGAGTCCAGCACGAGAACACCGACGTGGCAAACATCACCGCCGCTTGCTTCCAGCGCGGCAGCCAGATGATCAACTGCGATCCAATGGAAGGAAAATACAGTCCGTCCTTTTCTTGTTAACCGCCACTTCAACTGAAGGTCACAGTGGCCTGTGCGTTGCTCTACCGCGGTGACGTCGGCTCCAAGGACGTCAACGCTGCCGTTGCCCAGTTGAAGACTCGCCGCACGATTCGATTCGTTGACTGGTGTCCGACAGGTTTCAAGATTGGCATCTCCAACGAACCACCAGCACACATCCCCGATGGTGATCTCGCCCGCGTTGCTAGGAGCGTCTGTGTGCTGTCCAATACGACTGCTATCTCTGACGCCTGGACTCGGTTGGACGGTAAATTTGATCTGCTGTATTCTAAGCGGGCTTTCGTACACTGGTACGTTGGTGAAGGCATGGAAGAGGGTGAGTTTTCGGAGGCCAGAGAGGATCTCGCGGCGCTTGAGAAGGACTACGAAGAAGTGGGGATCGACTCGGCGGATGTGGTGGAAGAGGGAGAGTACTAGTGCACGCTCTCGTTGTCATTAAATCGTCTCTAGCCGCAATTCATTGTAGATCTAATCTTATCTTAGTCGGTGTGCCTTTTAGTAAGTTCAAAGTTTAACGTTCCGTCTCGACCCATCACCTTGAAGTCCCTCCCTCGAACTCATGGCTTTGCAACGCCGCATCCTTCCCGTCCTCACAACCAGGGCATACCCTTGTCGTTCTCTGCGTCTGTCATCCGCATTCGCAGGTTTTCGCAGAGTCTCAACCACCTCGGTTGCGGACACTGTGCGTCCTATTCGCCACCTCATTTTCCAACTCTGACATTGTGTAATTCAAGCCGCTGAGAAAAACGCCGCTTTATGATTTTCACGTCCAAAATGGTGCAAAGATGGTTCCATTTGCGGGATATCATATGCCCCTTCACTATGGCGATGTCGGCCAGGGTGCCTCCCTTTCTATTCTCCAAAGTCTCTACTATTCCTGACGTTCCCTGCAGTTGCGAGCCATCAGCACGTACGTCAGAGCGCAGGACTCTTTGATGTTGGACATATGGTGCAGTCTAAGTAGACATCGTCAATTGCTCTTTTCCGTCGTACTCCGTCGAACATCGTTTAGCTTTCGCGGCGCCACGGCGACCCAGTTTCTGGAATGGTTGACTCCCTCGTCGCTCTCAACTCTAACTCCGTATACATCCACGTTATCCGTGTTTCTCAACCAACATGGCGGAATTATCGACGATACCGTGATTACGAAACACGCACCAGACGCGTTTTACGTAGTCACGAATGCAGCTCGGCGCACGGAGGATTTGGCATGGTTAAATGCACGACTGGCAGAATGGAATGTCAGCGAGCGCGCGAAAGACGGGCCTGTGGAACACGAAGTATTGGATGGATGGGGACTGCTCGCCCTGCAGGGTATGTCACAGCACCCCTTCGGAGATAGCACCTCTTGACTCGAAACAACCATTAAAAGGTCCTGCCTCGGCAGACCACCTGCAAGCCTTGACGTCCTATGATTTACGTTCCTTGACATTTGGGAGGAGCGCGTATGTTCCGCTTGAGGGTATCAATGTGCATGTCGCACGCGGCGGATATACCGGTGAGGATGGCTTTGAGGTTGGTCTCAAATCACTTGCTCCTTCATTTCCCCCCGGGTTTCACTGCCCCCTGATACTCGACTAGATCTCCGTCTCACCTGCTCATGCCGCGTTCCTCGCGTCGGCGCTCCTCCGCTCGCCCGTCCAGCTCGCCGGTCTGGGTGCACGTGATTCCCTGCGGCTGGAAGCGGGAATGTGTCTCTATGGCAACGACCTGGACGAGAGCACCACGCCTGTCGAGGCTGGTCTCTCCTGGGTCATCGGAAAAGATCGCCGTGCTTCCGGTGGTTTTATCGGATGGGAGACAGTTCGCGACCAACTGAAGAATGGGCCACCAAGACGGCGCATGGGACTAATTGTCGATGATGCCCCAGCACGTCGTGCGTGTTTTTCTGTCATACATCCGATCTTATGATCGTTAATCCTGTGTTCCTTACTTGAAGAGGGTGCGAAGATTATCTCACCTGAAACATCAGACGAAATAGGTGTGCATTGCCTTGTGACGATTGTTCACGAGTGTAACAACAGCTATACGTAGGTATCATCACGTCAGGAATTCCGCTCGCTCCCACAGTTGGCAAGAACATCGCGATGGGTTACGTCAAGTCCGGGTTTCACAAGAAAGGCACTGCACTTGCGGTGGAAGTGCGTAAGAAAGCCCGTCCGGCTCTCGTCACGCCCATGCCATTTATTCCAACCCGATACTGGAGAGGTTGAAATACTCAGCACCACGTCCAAAGACATTATGTCATTCGTATTTGTTGACTTTGACATAACTCCGAGTCAAGTCTTGCGAAAATAGAGCACAGATGCTATTATTACCCATCCGCCGGTGGAGCACCGTTAATTGCTTTTTCAGAGCAGAGTAATCCTCCTTGTGCCATTCCTCTCCGGTCCCTGAAAGGAGTCACCCCCTACCGGCGTTTTACTTTCCGAGTCGCTCATGGTGTATGGCCCTCAACCTTCAACACTATTCTTGGTTCTCCGTTTTGGCTTCTATGATAGAGGTGTGATGCTACATTACATGACCACCTTGGTGAGTGCCAATATTGGCTGCCAACTCCCGCTCGAAACGTGTACGGCTCCCAAAACGATGACTTCACTCGGTACTATTCCGCCTGTTCCGACTTTCCACTTTGTATCAGGCGTTGGACGTCCCTCGCAGTCCTAGTAAGACAAATACACGTGGGTTGTTATCAACAAGAGCGAATCTGCGTGTCTACCTGGAAAAAGTCGCTGACACAGCG